CATTGCTAAAGGTTAAAATTTCATTTTCATTCCTTTACTTTAATAAAAAAAAGGGTTTTCAGTTTCTTTACTCAAAATTTTAATCCCTAAAGTTTATTATCTAATTCATTTTTAATCCTTCTATTATATTTTTGTACATATAGTATGTTAGATAATGGAAGAGAGGATAAAAGGGGGCTTTTTTAAGTAGAAGAACCAAAAGGGAATTTTTTTAATCCCTTTTTAGTCTTTATTTTGAAATTTTCATTCTTTAACATGCTACGTATGTAAAAATATAATGGAGGGATTAAAAAGGAAAAGATAATAAATTTTAGGGACTTAAGGGATTTTCCTTGAGCAGAGAGACTAAAAAGAAACTTTTTGTTAAAGTAGATGGACCAAAATGGGATTTTAAGCATTGCTAAAAGACAACTTTAGAAGTGTTGATGGATGGCCCTACAACAAGCTTTGGATTCGTTTGATACCTTTAAAGGTCCTTGATTTTATTTGGCAAACACTTCAAGACAATTTGCTACAAAAAGAAAGTTATTTCAAAGAGGCATTTCGAGTGACAATCAACTAAAAATGTTGCTTTTGTGATGAGCAAGAAGACACAGACCATTACATTGCAATTTTGCCTCTAAAGTCTAGAATTTATGCTTGCAATGGTGGGGAATTGCTTCAATCATGGCTAAGGAAATCTTAGGGGCTTTCCAACAACAATTCTCATTATTCAAAGATAAATTAGTCACCAAAGGATGAGTAACTATTTGGTGCTTGGTGTTACAGGCAATGAGATGATCTTCTAGAAGAAAAATGCAAATGAGGCCACAGTCATGGAATTGGCAAAAAATAAGAGCTTTCCATTGGATATTAGGAAAATCAAAATTGCCAAGGTTTGGCTTCAATGAATGGAAACATGGACCAAAACTGAGCTTGAGAAAGTAAATAATTGCTATAACTAGTTTTTTGACCATGAGCTTTCATTTGACAATTAATAAGAATGTAATGGGTTAGAATACCCCTTAAATTCCCAAGCAATAAAACCATCTTTTTTGCTGTGCCAACAAAAAATGTCATGTAGCGGAGGGATGAGCATGATGTCATAATTACTACAAAAAGAAAATGTTGTTTAGTACTTTCTATGTGTCTTGTACATTTTATAATTATTAATAAAAAGGGAATTTTCTTTAAATGTGAACTTGTTCTTTTTTCTATTAATAATTGTTCATTCCTCACTACAAGTGTGACGTTTCTTGGATACATCATCACTGCCTAAGGCATCAGAATAAACCCGAGTAAGATTGATGCTATTGTCAACTAGCCTACACCAACATCTATGCTTGATGTTCAAAGCTCCCATGGCCTAGCATTTTTTTTACTGAAGATTTATCAAGAATTTCAATTCTATTGCCATCCCAATCAGTAACAATATTAAGGAAAACAAGTTTTTATGGAGTGACAAAGCCCAAAAGAGCTTTGAAGAATTGAAGAAGAAGGTCACTAAAGCCCCTGTACTTGTACTTCCCAACTTTGACCTTATGTTTAACGTAGATTGTGATGCTTCTAATGTTGGAATTGGTGCAGTATTAAGTCAAGAAGGATAACCAATTGCCTTTCTCAGTGAAAAGTTGAATGACAAAAAGCTTAGATATTCCACCTATGACAAAGAATTCTATGTAATTGTTCAAGCCTTGGAGCATTGGAGTCATTATCTTCTTTCAAAAGAATTTATCCTGCACTTTGACCACGGGCATTGAAGCATTTGAATTCTCAACAAAAGATTAGTTGTTGACATGCTGCTAGGAGTGAATTTCTACAAGCTTATCCATTCCTCCTCAAATACAAATCTGGAGTCCAGAATCGCGTAGATGATGCTCTTAGTCACCGACATGCCTTGCTTACTTCCTTATAGATGAAAGTTATAGGATTTGAAGTGATCAAGGAGTTGTATGAGGATGATCCTGATTTTAGTAGCATTTGGAAAGCCACTTATGATCAAGCCTTTCAGCAATATCATTGCCAGCAAGATTACCTATTCAAGGGTAACCGACTATGTGTCCCACGTTGCTCACTTTGAGATTCAATTATCTAGGAAGCACATAATGATAGATTAGCTGGTCATTTCAAGAGAGACAAGACTTTAGCTCTTGTTAAAGAAAATTTCTACTAGCCAAAGGTGGAGCAGAATGTCATTTGTCACATTCAAAGGCGTAAAGTTTGTCACCAAGCCAAGACAATCAATCAGAACACAAGGTTGTAACTACCATTACCTATCCCAACATCACCTTAGCAAGATGTTAGCAAGGATTTTGTCCTTGGTCTACCACGAACTCAATGAAGCAAGGATTCTATCATGGTCGAGGTTGAAAAGGTTTCTAAAATGGCTCACTTTATTGCTTGTCAGAAAACTAATGATGTTTCTCTCATTGCTGAGTTGTATTTTATATAGATTGTGTGTCTACATGGAGTTCCAAAGACTATCACTTCAGATAGAGATGTCATTTTTGGAGGACTTTATGGAGAAAGATGAGCACTCAACTTCAATTTAGTTATGCTAGCCATCCCCAAACCGGCAGCCAAACTTAAGTTATCAACAAGATTTTAAGGAATCAACTACAAAGTTTTGTGGGAAAGAATTTGCAATAATTGGATTTTGTGCTTGCCCAAGCTATGTTTGCCTACAACAACTCTTCGAATCAAGCTACAGAAAAATGTCCATTCGAAGTATTATATTCTAATAATTGAATTAGATAAATATTAAAGAATATGTTGAATCAACTGTGTACTAATTATTTTTTAATTGAATTACATGAGAGCCCAAATAACCACTTTTTTTTTTTTGGTCGTCACCTAGGCAACCATCGGAGTTTTTGGGTTTAAATGAACATATTTTGAAAATTGAGGGCCCAAATTGCAAGAAGGAAGGTGTTATCTTGGGACCTAAGTGAATGAATATTGAGTTTTTGGATCTAAATGCTCAGTATGCAAAATTTGAAGGACCAGTTTTGCAATTTTACCATTGAAGAAATTGCAAAAGATGACAGAAACCCGACACGGGTGTGGTGTCGACCCATAATTTTGGTGTCGACACCTTACGGCAAGCATTCAAAATCACAGTTTCTGTCTCTTATTCTGCGGTGACAAAGTGCAGGCTAAAGTTTTTTAACAACTTGGAAGTGCTCTTGTGTTAATATATCAGAATGGACTGATCTTGTAAATTTATGCCTTTCAAGTTAAAATATTTATAGGTTTGGGTATCCTTGTACTCCGTTTTTAATAAATATTATTTTTTGTTGTTAAAAAAAAAAAACCTAGGCAACCATCGGCATCATAACAATCCACATCAATGCCTAATATGAAATAACTCCATCGTTCTTTCCTCAACATTGTCCACTCTGCCAACTACTTGCTATTCTTTTTAAATGCTACAAGTGTTTTCTTGATTTATAAGGTGTTTCAATTATAACTTCTTTTTTTTGATATTTACAATGAGGGTGTTTTTGGGTTAGCTTTCGTGCAGCTTAACACTAAATATCTCCCTGGACAAGCTTAAAGAGCACATCCC